CCCTCAGGCAACTACTGAGTGAACATTTCTGGGGCCAGGAAGAGGTGCTGCTCTGGGTGAACACAGGGCCCCATTTGATGACCACAGGGTCTTCTGTCTGTTCCCAGGAAGGACTACTCCGGAGAGTACACCATCTTCTTAATCCCCTGCACTGTGCAGCCCACACAGCCATGGGTAGAGCCTGGAGACAAGCCCCTGCCCTGCACGGCTCACGCTCCAGAGCGGTAAGGAGGCCCCATCCCCACGGCAGCAGGACAATGTCAGCCCATTTGGGGTGTTTCTGGGGTCTCAGCAGGTGCGTGGGACAGCACAACAGCAGCAGGAAGGGAAAAGGGGAGGGATGGAACCTCCTCCTTTGCTTAAGAGCTTCCCTGCAACCAAGAGTGTCTGCGCTCAGGGGGGTGGGAGATCACTGTGCTTGGGGTGCACATGTGTCCAAACCTCACCTCTCCATGGTTTCCTTCCTTGTCCCAATTCCAGATTTTTGATCCCCATCGCCTTCCAGCAGACAAACCGCCCAGTTCCCGTTGTCTACTCCCTAAACACAGAGTTCCAGCTGTGTAACAATGAGAAGGTGTTTCTGATGGACCCCACCAAATCCGAAATGTCCCTGGCAGAAATGGATTACAAAGGGGCTTTTTCCAAGGGTAGGATTTATTTTGGCTTTGCCTCTTTTACAGCAACAAATGACATTTTGAGCATGTTAAAGCCCTGTAAGAAAAGAATGTGCTTTTGTCACCCTTACACCCCAAACCCTTCCCAAACCATCCAAACCTTTCCAAACCCAGAGCCACGTGTGGTTTGACGTGTTAGTCTCTAGCAGTGACTAATTCTCTTGTTGGAGAATTTCACCTGTCCATCTTTCTCCCCCCCTCCCCAGGGCAAGTCCTGTATGGCCGCGTGCTCTGGCACCCGGAACAAAACCTCAATGCTGCGTACAAGCTGCAGCTGGAAAAAGTCTACCTGTGCACGGGCAAGGATGGCTACGTGCCTTTCTTCGACCCCACGGGCACTGTCTATAACGAGGGGCCCCAGTATGGCTGCATCCAACCCAACAAGTACCTGAAACATCGATTCCTCCTATTGGTGAGTCCTCTGCTTCTGCTTCCTCTTTGGGAGCTTCTCCAGCAGCAAACAGATCCTGACTGCAAAGGGGTGAGGAGTGTGTAGTGCCCTGGCCTCCCTTTGGAAGGCAAGAGAGCCTGCCCCCCTCTTCATAACACCTCTCTGATTTCCAGGACCGAAACCAACCTGAAGTGACAGATAGGTACTTCCATGATGTGCCTTTTGATGCCCACTTTGCCTCCGAGCTGTCCGAGTTCCACTCGGTAAGCAGCATGCCCGGAGTCGATGGATTTACTCTCAAGGTGGATGCTCTCTACAAGGTATGTGCTTCTGGTAGCCCAAAAAGTAACTTCTCTGTCCAGGATCTCCCAAATGCTTTGCAAATTTTAGGTTCTGGTCCTTCAGAAGCCAACCCTGACACAGAAAATGAAGATTAGGTTATTATTCTAAATATAATCTAAAATTTTAAGATTTTATTTCCCCCCCCAAAGCACTCAGGAAAAAGCTCTTTAAAAACGTATTATTCATGACCCTAAATGAATTATTGAAGCTGGCAAAGGCTGAACACCTCACTTGGTGATCAGCGTTTCTGCAGGCGCTCAGAAAAAAACCCACCGAGCTGCTTTGTCAGAAACAGAGCACAAAATGCACCAGCTCTTGATCACTCGATGTTAAACTGTTAACGTGACCTGTGTGCTCGTCTTCCCCTTTGGAAAGGTGGAAGCTGGACACCAGTGGTACCTTCAGGTGATCTACGTGATTGGCCCGGAGAGCACGGCAGGGCCCCGTGTCCAGCGGTCCCTCACTCGCCGCTGGCAGCGCAGCCGCAGGGACCTGGCCCGAGGCGCCAGCAGGACGGTGCTGGACGACTCCTTGGTCTACGACAACGAGGGCGACCAGGTCAAGAACGGCACCAACATGAAGTCGCTGCTCTTGGAGAGGGAGGAAGCCGCCGTCGCAGCCTCCTTGTCCCAAACGGGCGCTTCCCTGGGGAGCGCCTTTGCCGCCCTCACCCTGCTGCTGCTGGTGCTGTCCGGGGTTTGCCTCCTCGCCAGGAAGTGTCGGAAGGTGCGGAGGAAGCGGGAGGCTGCCAGGGCCGCCCCCGAGGAGCACCCCTTGAACACCAAGGTGGAGCTGCCCCGGGGTGTCCCGAGGGCCATGGGCAGCCGGTGCTGTACCGTGAGGAATGTTCATTCTCTGAGGGAAAATGGCAGCGTCTGCCAGGGGAAGGGCAGGAAGGTGAAGCAGGTGAACCTGGAAGTCAAAGTCCACAGCAATTTGCATGACGGCACAGAAGTGTAACAGAGCACACACTTTGGGAAAAGCTTTTTATAAACTGTAGAACAAACATAACCCAAAGCTGAAAAGCCAAATAAAGTCACACTGGTATTTTTATACACTGGGAGGAGGAGGAGGAGTGGCTGTCACTCCCCTCTGCCCCTTGTGCAGCAGCCTCGCTGCACGGCACCGCTGGCCTTTTCCATTCATGGTGCTCAAAGCTCCAGCTCTGCACTGCCCTGAGTGCCCAGGACATCCAGCACCTCCCACCTTGTCCCTGGGCAGGGGCCCAGCCCCGTGGGGCCAGGCAGCGTGGGGACACCATCCCCACCTGGCATGGGGGGGGGCTCTGTGCCAGCCAGGAGAAGAGCAGGGCCTCTCTGACAGAGAATAAAGCTGGAACATAAACCTGACCCGGTGTGACCAGGTGTCCTTTCCTGCGCTGCCTCCTCCAACTCTCCTCCTTTCCAAGGAGCATGGCAAGGCAGGAACACCACGGGGAAGGGGGAGGGTGTGGTGGCCTCAGGGGTGACCGATCGGGGGGCTCTGCGCCCCCCGTGGGGTGCGGGCGGTCCCCGCCGTGCGGTAGCCCCGGGGCTGCGGTACCGGCCCTGCCATACCGGCCGTGTCCGCCAGACGGCGCCGCGGGTCCGGGGGCTCCCGGGTCCGCTACGGGGCGGGCTCCGCACCCCGCCCGGTTCAGCCTCGGCACCGGCACCTGGGGCCCCGTCACAGCCTCGGCTCCCCCGGCCCGAGCGGAACCGCGTCCCGTTCCCTGGTGGGATCCCAGCGTCGCTATGGCCGCAGCCGGAGCGGGAGCGGCAGCGCCGGACTCGGCACCAGCGCACGCCCCGGAGCGGCTCCTCCCGCCCGCGGCGGTCTCGATCCCAGCCCCAATCCCGCCTCGGTCCTCCGGCTGCGGAACCCGCACCCCGCCCGCTGGGCGAGAGGCGGCACCGGCCGGAACCCGCAGCGGGCATGGGCAGGACCCGGGAACGAGCCCCGAGCACTAAACCGCGGGAACGAACCCCCGCGTACGGACCCCTGGGAACGAACTGCCCAGGAACGAACCCCGCGGGCGCGGGGCGGGACCTCAGGGGTTCGAGCCCCTGAAGGCGCCCTCAGGCGGCCCTTTTGTCCCTTAGTTCGCGGTACGGGAGGCGGTACCGGGCCGGGCTCCCTCGGTGCCGCCTGGGTGAGGCCAGACTTACTGCCTGAGGTACAAAACACTCTCCAGAGTAATCACCCCAACAACTGTATCAGATAGAAACACATCCTTAGAAATAACAATTGCGATGCCAAGGTTTCATGTTTTAAACGTTCTGTCTCTCCCTCCAGAGTTCTCCTGGGAATGTAGGGATGGTGTTTAAGAGCAGCATAAGGAGAACTGACAGTCACTGTTCCACGCTTTTCAGGATAGCAACAGTGCCAAACTGAGCTTGTAACATAGACACTCTCAGGATAGTTTGTATATCTCATTAACACGGTTTGACACTAATGCTAATTCTTCATGAGAAGAATCAGGACAGAGAGGCTGATTTAACACCTAGAGGGATTCGTGGGCTACAATGAGGACACTGACCACAAGCCTGGTGCTCCTGAAAAGGGCAGGTATTGACCTGACAAGTGCCTCAGATCGATCTGTGACAAGAAGTGGGAGGTGGAGTTGGTACCAGAGTCGCTGTCCCTTCACACACAGTTAGTCATTGGCCTGCAGAAAAGAAGGGGGTTCCTGCCTGCTGCTCTCCCCTGTCCCTGCCCCGTTCCCTGGGAAAGTGCAGCTCTTGTCACTGCAGTGTAAAGGTGGGGAAAAGGCAGCGAGAGAAAGGCAGCCCAGCTTGGGGGGTGACCCTCCCTTCCTTCAGCTGCTGGGAAACGTGGCCGGGGGTCCCTCAGAGGCACTCCAGCTGAGGAGCTGCACCACTGCCAGAGGGACTTGGCAGGGATGGGGCAAGGGCAGCTCCTAAAATGCCCAGCTGGAGGAACGAGCCGCCCAGGCCTCCGCACCGAGCCCTGTGCAGGGCATTTGGGCTGCTGGGGAATGGCCCAGCAGGGAGGTTCTGCTCCTGCCAGCCCAGCTGTTGCTTCCAACCGCATGGGAGGGGGAGGTATTTTGTCAGGGCAGTCGCTCATGGAATGGGTTGCCTGGGGAGGTTATGTATCCCCATCCGTGGAATGTTTCAAAATGTGACGTTACTCTTTCCTGGAAAACGCTATGATCCCCCAGTTTCCAAGAGCGATCCACTGGAATGACCAGGTTTGCTCTGACGGAGCTCGCGCCGGTCCCGCCCCCCGGCCCGCCCGGCCCGCCCCCAAGAACGCCGCTGTCCTCGCAGGCCCCGCTCCCGCCCGCTCCCCGCCTCGCTCCCCTTATCCCGGGAGAGCTCCCGGACGGGCCGTGACCGCGGAGCTCCCACCGCCCTTCCCCGGCCCCAGCAGCGCCCGCCGGGGCTGCGGCGGCGGCGGGAGCCCCGCGGAGGGAACGGGGCCGGGGCCGCGCCGAGGGGCGGGGCCGGGTGAGCGGGCGGGGCGGGGCCGCAGGGCCGGGCGGGCTGGGATTGGGCGGAGGCGCTCGAGCGCTGATTGGGCAGCGCTGCCGGCCCGCAGTATAAAGGGCCGGCGGGGGGGCGGTGGGGCCGGTTGTGTGTGTGAGGGCTGAGGGTGCGGCCCCGCTGCTGCCCGGGCTGCGGAGGGGAGAGCGCCTTGGCCGCTGGGTTTGTGGGCCGGGGGAGCCGGGGGGCGTTTAGGGGCGCGTTGTGCTGGGCGGCGGGGGCCGGGTAAACCCCTTCCCTGCCGGGTGACCCTGGGGGAGCCGTGGCAGGGCTGCGGGGCTGTTGCTCTTTGGGTGCCTCAGGGGTTGCCTCGGAATCCCAAAGCCTTTCCCCGTGCAGGGTTACGAGGCGAAGACTGGTCTCAGTTTCTTGGTGCTGCATTAATGCTTTTTGCTCGTTCTGTGTCAGTTTGCAGCCTGGCTCGTGGTTTCCCCTGGTGCTGGGGAGTGGAGGCGAGTTGTGCTTCCTGCTGGGAGAGAGAAGGGCCTTGGGAAGCTGCTCCATGAGCCACAGCTGTGCCGAGCCCGGGAGTCTGTCCAGGTAAGAGCAGGGCTTATACTGCCAGTGAGGAGCTGGGTTTGCTGTTGGCAGATAGAATATGCCCGTGCCTTGAAATGCAAGGACAGGCAGAAGCTGGGAGGGACCCTGAGCACATTTGAAAAGCCCTTGACTGTGGGAGAAGTGTCCAGGAGAAGTGATTGCTTTTTTGCAGGGAGGCAGTTTGTGAGGACAGGGGGGTTGCTGTGCTCTCTAGCAAAACTACTGCCCTTGGGATGTGCAGGGTGAGGAAATGTTGGCCCCGTGTGGGCTGGAGCAAAGGTGTGTGGGTGCCTGTGTGTGACAGCCGTGGGTGTGCAGGAAGGGGGTTCTGGTGCCATTGGAGCTGCCAGGGAGCCAAAAGGGGCACAGTTGTCTGAACAAGGTGCAAGCTCTGTTGATCTCTGTTGACACCTGCACCAAAGGAGATGCAAATTTTCCCCCTCTTGGTTGCAGACTTGACAAAGCTCCCCAGGAAAAGAAGTTTTAGATTCCAACTCCCCTTTATGCTAAAGGTTTCCTTGCTCTCTCAGCAGGATGTGGAGTGCCACCATGTCCCCGAGGTCACCCTTTCTGCTGCTGGGAGAGCACAAGGTGGATGGAGAGGATCCCCAGGCATCTGCAGGCACAAAGGACTCGTACAACTGCGATTTTCCTCCAGCCCTCGTGAGAGGGACTTTGAGGGTACCCTGGGTAATGTGCCAGCTCTCCTGCTGGACTGTTTGTCTTCTGCTGTATTTGAACACAAAGAGTAAAACTAAAGTCAGGTGTGTTCTGGAGTATGTTACACTCGTGCAAAGCTCCTTCCCTCTGTTTATTTTCTGTTCTGGAAAGCAGAGTCTGGGGTTCCTGGTCACTTCATGTTAAATGATTCCCTGAAAATAATTTGGTACTGAAAGGGGAAAAGAGCTGTCTGTGGGAGGTCAGGTGTCCCTGATAAAAGCTTTATGCTTTTTCAGTCAATAAGCTCCTTATATATCTTAGTCTGTAGGAATGCCTGGCTTGTAAAACTCACCAGCTGAGTCTTAGAGGCTTCTTTGAAGAGCTGAGTTCAGGCAGCAAAATTGCCCCCCCAGGAGGGACTCTGTGCCTGCTCTCCCGTGGCTCCAAGGGATCTCTGGCCCTTCACGCCGGCACCGAGATTTTCTCGGGAAGGGCCTCAGATCCCCGGACCAGTCTGGGACACAGGCAAGATCCCCCTGCCTTTAGAAATGAGGCCTTCTTGTGGCTTCCTCCCCGTACCCGTTGGTGGGTTCTAAAGAAGGACTCTTGAAATGCCTTTAGGGCTGTCCATGGCAAGCTTGAGACCAAATTGGCCCCCCTGGAGGGACAGTGCTGTTGGTGCCCCCCGGGTTGGGGCACCCCGAGGACTCCAGCGCGCACCGAAAGGATTATTCGGGGAGATCCTCGGGGTGCCCGGCCCTGGGGAGCTCAAAGCAAGGTCCCTGTCATGGATTCAGGCATTGCTGAGAGTATCCCAGGGGTCCCTGTCCCTGCTAGACATGGAGCTCTCTAATGGGCTGGAATTGGGTTCTAAAAGTGGTGCTCCAAGTGCAAAGGAAGTGTGGGATTGGGATCAAGAAATGAGCAGTGATGGTCCAATTGGCTGTTTTCTCTTGAATATAAGGTTAAGGGCTGCAGGAGTGCCAGGTGTGTGTTCCAGTCCCCAGCATTTGGTTTGCACCTGTCCTGCTCAGACACAGGTCCAACTTCCTCAGTCCTTAACCCAATAGAGGGAGAATGAAGGACTGGCAGTGTTCAGGTGATTGGTGTGACAGGGGTTAAACTGGGAAAACATTGGGGAATTGCTCAGTTGGTCTATTTGCCAAACTCACCCAAACCACTGCTAGGAAGAGACTTTCTGAAAAACTTGAGGCAGAAATGAAATGGAAAACTGAGGATGTTGAAACTGTAATTGCTGAAGCTAAATGTGTCAAAGCAGCAGCTCTTGTTGTGCAGGGAATAACTCCTGTCAGCAGCAAGGTCCCCACTGAAGTGGCAGCTGCAGTTGTTCCTGTGGTGTGGGCCAGTGGAGTGTTCCAGGAGAGTGGAAGAGGGCGGAACCTGTAGGTATTACCCCTAATGTGGGATCTCCACTGGTAAGGCCAACCCAGTATCCTTTAAAATCAGAATGCCAGCTTGGATTGGTTGCAGTAACAGCTGAATTGGCTCATCCTGGTTTGCTTGTAGAACGTGAATGCAAGAACCTGCCAAGAAACCAATGGCCAAGATGATTGATGAGTGCAGGACCTGAGAGAAGCACCTTGAATGACAACCTTGAGGAGTTTCCAGTATTGGATTGCAAAGATGGCCTTTGCTGCATCTCCTTGAACAAGGAAAGCCAAGAAACCTTTGCTTTGGAAGGAGAAAATCTGGAAAGCAGGAAGGAAGCAAAGAAGCCCCCTGACTCCTCCCTGAGCCCCAGCCAGCCCATGAACTGCCTTGCTGGGAATGGTAGGACGGGCTGGACTCTGGATTGCTCCCTCTGGATGTGTGGTAAGACTGTTATGCCAACTTTTCCAACAGCCTGTAAGCATTTGCTGCCTTGGCTAGATGGTGCAAGGGCAGCCTTTAAGCAGCTAAAGCATTCCCTGAGGAGAGCTCTGGGTCTGCCAGATGTGTCAGAAGTGTTGGAAGCATCTTTGCTTGGGAGGGCAAACCAAGGCCAAGGTGTGCAGTGACCCCCCTGAGAAGGGACTTTGAGTTAATGGCATCCCTGCAAGTGAACTTTGTGGGCTGTTCCCCCTGTAGGGCAGGTGATAGTCCCAGCTACAGTGATGGGGAAAATGGTTAAAAGGGAGTCTCAAAAGCTGGAAATTCTCCTGGAGGCTCTTGGCAAACAGAGTTTGCTGAGTTCCCCCTGCAAGAAGGATAGTGATAACTTCTGAGTGCTGGTAGATCCTTTGAATAGATAGCCTTGAGTGTGTCCTTGTTGCACCAGTAGGCCTTGTCAAAGTCCCCATATTGCAGGGATATACATATTAAAGTTAAAAATGATCCTTTTCCTAATCCTTTGTTGGCTTGAGGCTCTCCCCTCAGGAACTGCAGGAACTCCTGGTGCCGCCTGGGCCGATGGATTGGACGCCCCAGCCCCTCCGTTCCTGCCCAGCCCCTGGGTCCGTGTCCAGTGGTGGCACTGCCAGCCCTGCAGGTGAAGTGGGAAGGGCCTTTCCAGGTCTTGTGGGTCACATTGATAGCAGCTGAAGTTGCACAAAAAGGACCTGGGGTCTGTTATTTCTGAGTTCAGAAAGCTCCTTTTGATTGGTGAGCAGAACAAAGTGGATCCTTCAGAGTTCCCATCCGTGTTTGTGTCTCAGCCTGTGTTAGGATTCAGGGCTGTAGCTGTTGTTGTCACTGAGGAGTCAAACTCTGCTTTAAATAATGAGACACTGGCCTGATGGCTGTGTGTCAAGAATAAGGGGGGATGATACCTGAGTGTTGAGATGTAACAAGAGCTGATCCTTTTTGCAGTGGGATGTAGCCTGGAAAGTGCACAGAGCTGAGCCAAGGGATTGAAAGGGACCAAGCAAGGGAGGTGAAGAAAGAAGGAAGAAGGGAAGTGAGGCAGCAGCCAAGCAGCACCAAGCTGCTGTGTAAGCAGGTGAGTTGTGTTGAGGTTCCTCAGGCAGGCCCTGAGGACTTGGAGGGCTCCAGACAGAGCAGAGCTGGGAAGGCCCTCGGTGAAGCCCCTTGGAAGCCTTCTAAGGGTAGGTGTGTATGGTGATAAGTGTTGGAAAATGTCCTGAATGTGGAACAGGAGTGCAGGGAAGGAAAATGAACCCTCCTGTAATGCTGCCATATCAGCTGCAGTGGAGATAGCTCTGTGTGCCCTTTGGGAGCTGATTGCCAGGGCCCCTGGTGGGCTGGAATGATTCAAGAGCATAGGAATCAAAGATTGCCTGGCTTCTAAAACTCACCACTTGAGTCTCAGAGGTTCTTGTTAGAAATTTTAGGTAACACCTGAAGTTTTGTGTGTACTTCTGAGTTCAGTTGGAAAGAGATTGTCCAGGGAACAGGAATGTTTCTCATTCCAGGAAGTTGCCCTTGATGAACTTCCCATCTGAGCTGATGGCCTTGGCAGGAGAAGTGCTCAGCAAGGAGGCTCTTTGCTCCTAGGCAGGAAGAAAGGCCAGTGCCCTTTCTCCCCAAGGCCCAGCCCGGCAGGGCTGGCAGGAGCTGCTGGTGTGGCTGCTCTTTGGGTTCTCAGCTGTGCCCGTGGGGTGGTGACATCGTGTTCCTGCCTGTGCTCCAGGGCAGCCAAAAGCCCAGCCCAGCCCCTGGGCCTTTCTGGGAGCCTGAGCTATTGCAGCACTGGGGAGGGGGGTTTGGGGTTTTTTTCCCTGAAAGTAGAACTATAGGGGGGATCTCTTATCTCACAGTTGTTGTTTTTTTGATGTCTTAATTAATTACAACTTTAGAAGAAAACCTTGTGTAACTTAGGAACTGACTTGCACTGGTTCCACTGAAAGTGCCAAGGAGTTGTAGTGTCCACTGGATTGTTTGTATTGAAGCAGTTTGATGTTTACAGAGGGATAATAACTCCTGTCAGCAGCAAGGTCCTGACTGAAGTGGCAGCTGCAGTTGTTCCTGTCGTGTGGGCCAGTGGAATTCCAAGCAAATGGACAAGGACAGAAGCTGTAAGAATTACCCCTAAGCCAGAGTCTCTCCTGGTAAGGCAAACCCAGTATCCTCTAGAATTAGGAAGCCAAGCTGGATTGGTTCTAGTAAGAGCTAAATTTGCTGCTGATGGTTTGATAGTAGAATGTGAATGCAAGGAGCTGTAAAGAAAGGAAATGGGCAAGATGATTGATTGCTGGGAGCAGGGGCTGGCAGACAGTGGCACTGGCTGTTTGGTTGTGTTTGGGAATGAGCAGCTTGACCTGCCCAGGGTTGTCTGTGCTGGGGGTGGGTTTGTGTCCTGTGTGGCCACAGGTCTGTGCAGCAGCTGGAGCCTGGGCAGGTTTGGGGGCTGTGGTGTGCCAGGCTGCTGAGTGTGTTGTCCCTGTTTCCTTGGAGTGTCCCAGTGTCCCTGCTTGGCTGTTTGTTGCCCTGCAGGCAGAAGAGCCCAGGCCTGAGATGGCTGAGTGTTGGTGTGACCCAGCGTGGGTGTCCCTGCCCTGGGGACAGTCCCCAGAGCTGCCTTTGGCATCCCCTGCTGAAGGGTGGGAGCTGCCCAGAGCCAGCAGCATCCAGCTGGAGGATCCAGGAGGATGCAGCTGTGTTTTCCTGGGAGGTAAGAGGTGGGGGTGCAGGAGCTGGCAGGAGTGTTTTGCAGGCAGAGGGAGGGCAGGAGCAGGAGACTTGCAGGTGCAGCAGCTGTGTCAGTGCTGGATGGAGTCGGGGCTGGGAAAGGGCCCTGAGTGTCAGGGCAGGGGAGAGCCCAGGGTGGCCCTGGGAGCCCTGGGGCTGTGAACAAGTGCAGTGGGCAAAGGAATGGGCACTGGAGAGCTGGGCAAACAGCTGGAGGAGTTGCAAGGAGAACCAGGAGACTGGAATGCAGGAGCAGCAGCTCCCTGTGTGTGTGTGTGTGTAGAACCAGGTGTACTGCAGCCCCAGTGAGGTGGGAAATGAAGCTCAGGAGGCTGGGAACGAGTCCCACACACTAGTTAAAGTGGGATGGACTCTTCCCAAGTGTCTGAAAAGCTTTTCTTTACTGTTGCTTTATCAATTGAAAACTAAAGTGATTGTTGAAGTGTTGGCACTTGTTTTCCTGTGTCTTTGGAGAGGAAACTCCGCAGAGCTGAGCCAAGGGATTGAAAGGGACCAACCAAGGGTGGTGAAGAAAGAAGGAAGAAGGGAAGTGAGGCAGCAGCCAAGCAGCACCAAGTTGCTGTGTAAGCAGGTGAGTTGTCTTGAGGTTCCTAAGGCAGGCCCTGAGGACTTTGAGGGCTCCAGACAGAGCAGAGCTGGGAAGGCCCTCGGTGAAGCCCCTTGGAAACCTTCTAAGGGTAGGTGTGTATGGTGATAAGTGTTGGAGAATGTCCTGAATATGAAATAGGAATGCAGGGAAGGAAAACGAACCCTCCTGTAATGCTGACCCCTCCCATCAGCTGCAGTGGAGATACCTGTGTGTGCCCTTTGGGGGCTGATTGCCAGGACA